GAGACCATCTGTCTGAAAGTTGACAAGAGATCATGGCAGATGGTGAGGTTGAAAGATTGACTTCTTTTGAGCTTGACATAATGTGTTCATGAAGCTGGAAGAAGACCTTGGAAACAGAATGGAGCTTGCAGTTGTTGAGTTTGGATAAACATCAGCACACATGGCTGGTTTATATCTGAGACTCATCAGCATTGCCAAAGATAGCCACTTTTGAAAACATTTGGTGTCCCTTCATCTTCTTGACATTTTGGAAAGTTTAAAGTCACATATTGAAAATTTGCAGGTAATTTTTTACATTAGTTAATATGAAAGAAAAACAAAATCTTTTAAAAACATTTAGGATTGCTTAACCTTTTAAAATTGTAATTGAAAACATTTTTCTGTTTGAAAATTAGGATTTATGTTGTATTTTTCATTTCATGTTCATGCAGATTATTCATTGCTTGTTTTGGAAGAGGAAACCAATTTAACCCCTCACCCCCAACATTGTTTATCCTGTGTTAGGCAGGGTTTTATATGTGTCATCTTATTTAATGAAGTATGTGTGCCTTTAATGCTTGAAAGAAAGCAAATTGAGGCACAGAAATATTATTGTAAATTTGTTCAATAAATAATCACTTTTGACTTTATTTTAAACATTTATCATTTAGACAACATTTAGAGATTCTAGTCTTTGCTGAGCTTTGGTAAGAAGATTCAAAGAGAATATTAAACACAATTATCCTTGGCTCTGACACTTTTACTGGTGTAGTTAAACAGTATTTTTTTTTTCTTAAACAGTATTTTATTGGTAGCCTCTTACTGTAATGTTCTAAAATAGATTCTGTTAATTTCCTAATTTTTTAACTTCTGCTTCACCATGTGGTCCTTGGAGAGTCTAACCCAGACTCTTCCTAAGCACTCTTAATTATAGAGCTACATGTCCAGCAGCCTTTTGTTAGTTTCTTTTTAATTGCTTGAATAGCCATTCAGTAGCCTGACTTTTTATACTGTATATGATACAGTATAAAATACTGAGTACAAAATGAAGCAGACACATAGAGAAAAGTAGCTGTAGCCATTATAACCATGCTTTGGGCTCATTGAGGTAGAGAAAAGGGATCCCTTGTAGCCAAATCTGCTAAGCTCACTTCATTAGTATTTGCTTATGTCTTGTTGGCTAGTATTAAGTCAAATGTCATATGGTTAGACCATCTGTGAGGTGAGAGAGGGGAGCATTTCAGGGAACACATTGCCACCTTCAACTTTTTTTTTTAATATTTTTTTAAATATTTATTTATTTATTTATTTATTTATTTATTTATTATGTATACAGTCTGCCTGCATGACAGAAGAGGGCACCAAATCTAAATCGCATAGATGGCTGTGAGCCAGTATGTGGTTGCTGGGAATTGAACTCAAGACCTCTGGATTAGCAGCCAGTGCTCTTAACCTCTGAGCCATCTCTCCATCTCCCACCTTTAACTTCTTAAGGAAGAGAAAAATAATAGGGAATAAATTCTGCCTAGATGTATGCATAGAAAGCTCAGAAAACTTAATGAGTCCAAATCATATTTTCTGTGGCAAATACATCATTACTTTCTGTCAGAACTGTATTTTAGTAGGCCATAAAATCTAATATTTTGATTTTATTTTATTTTTTAATGAGTAACTTTATGTGCATTGGTGTTTTGCCTTCATGTATGTCTATGTGAGGTCATCAGATCTTGGAGTTACAGACAGTTGTGAGCTGCCATGTGGGTGCTGGGAATTGAACCTGGGTCCTCTGGCAGAGTAGTCAATGCTCTTAACCACTGAGCCATCTCTCCAGACCCCCCTTTAATGTTATTATTGTGTATGTTTATATGTTATTTATATTTTAAAATATGTTCTAAATGCTTTAAAGTATTTTTATTCTTTGAGTATTTCATACATGTTTACAATGTATTTTTAGCATTCAGGTGCCTTTTTCTATTTTATAGATTTCTCTCATCCTATTGAGTCCAGTTCATGCTGGCTGTGTGTGCATGTGTGTGGAAAAATTGTAAAAGTAATTTTATTTATATTAGTGTATATGATGTGTGGGTGCACATGCCACAGCATGCATATGAAGATGAGAGTATAACTTTGTAGAGTCAGTTCTCTCCTTCTACCTTTACTTTGGTTCCAGGGATCAAACTTAAGTCTCCAGGGTTGTTCAGTAAACACCTTTACTCTCAGCCCTCTCTCTGGCCCACATGGTATTTGAGAGGGGCTCTCATATAGCTCAGGCTGCTCCAGAACTTGCTATTATGCCATTATTAGTCTTTCTACCTTTACATTTTCCCCTCTACATTCTTAAGTGTGCCTTTTTATTTTTCTTTCTGGGTGCCTTTATTTTAACCCTAGTGCTTTAAAAATTTATATTAAAAATTCAATAAACTCCACTTTATTTTAAGATAATTTTATGTTTGTTTATTTTTGAGGCAGAATTTCACTGTATAGCTTAGGCTAGCTGGGATCACTGTGTTACTATTTAGCCTAAGTTGGCCTCACACTTGTAATTTCTCTTGCTATATCTCTTAAATGATTAAACTATAGGTGTGAGCTACTGTGGCTAGCAAAGTAATTTTAAAAGAAAAATAAAATGTGACCCTCTCTCCAAAGATCAAATAAATACACAAAAATGAGAAAAGCTACAGAAGTGGAGCAAAGAACTCTTGAATGCCCCTGCCCAGATTCACCAATTATAAACATTTTTATACATTTTACTTTCACTTCTATATATTTTTCATTTGAAATTTAGTCCTTGTTATCATTCCACTTGCTTCCTAAAGTATTTTGGTGGTTTTTTTTTTATTTTTTTGTAAGATAAAGGATATTTCACTTATAGAAAGACCCTATAGTTTATGGAGTAATATCCAGAAACAACAATGAAATCTGGACCTGGTTTCTTACACCTGTAATTCTAGCACTTAGAAGGCTGAATCAAAAAGAAGATAGTCATGAATCTGAGGCTACTTGTTCTATATACTGAGTTCTAGACTAGCCAGGGCTCTGTAGCAAGGCTCGGCCTAAAAAATAATAAACAGGCAAAGAAAAAACAACAGAAAGAAAGAAGAAATAGCATACAGATACACACACACACACACACACACACACACACACACACACACTTTTCCAGTTATCCTGATATTGGTCTTCTTAGGAATCATGTTTTTCTGATCTAGTGATTATTTTGTATTTTGAGATCACACACTGAATTGAGTTTTCCTTTTTTTAAACTTTATTTTAATTTTTCTAACATGGATGTTTCTTAGCTTCCTTTGCCTTTTTTTTTTTTATTTATTTTTGAAGAGTTGAGTTCAGGCCATTATTTTGAAGAACATCTTTCACTTTGTATTTCTTTGATTTGTTTTCATGATTAGATTTTGCATGTTGGACAGTAATGTCTCAGAAATGATATTTTGTCCACCTCAGTGCACTTAGGACACATGATGACTTATCTGATTATTGGTGTCCATTTGGTAACTTTGATCATTAAGTAGTGTATGCATGGTTTCTTTACTGGAAAATTTGAATTAAGATGTTTTATAAGGAGATATTTCAATATTATGTTAATATCTTTTTGCACTTTTTTTTTTTTTTGAGACAGGGTTTCTCTGTAGCTTTGGAGCCTGTCCTGGAACTCACTCTGTAGATCAGGGAAGGTCTCGAACTCACAGAGATCTACCCTAGTGCTGACATTAAAGGTGTGCGCCACCACTTCCCAGCTTTTGTTGCACAGTTTTAGTACTTAGTGTTAACACTAAGCTAAATCACCAAAACTTTGTTGGTGATTCTTCTTTACTAGTTTATTGTGATGGTTACATGGTGGTGGCTTCAACAAATGTAGAATTCATTATATTTATTAGTTGGCATTCTACTGATGCTTTACATTTTCCTCTGTCATCTCTAGTTGTTTTCATGACTGGGTTTATAATTTTTACTATCATTAAGATGTTTTGGTGTTCAGTGTGCAGTTGTAGGTTCCATAAGATGCCGAGAGAGAGAGAGAGAGAGAGAGGAAGGAGAGAGAGAGAGAGAGAGAGAGAGAGAGTGTCTGTGTGTGTCTGTGTGTGTCTGTGTGTGTGTGTGTGTCTGTGTGTGTGTTTCGGGGATGTTTGAGACAGGGTTTCTCTGTGAAACAGTCCTGGCTGTCCTGGAACTCACTCTATAGAACAGGCTGGCCTTGCACTCACTGAGATCCACCTACCTTTGCCTCCCAAGTGCTAGGATTAAAGGTGTGCACCACTGCCAAGCTAGCCCTTCTGTATTTTTCTTTCTTTCTCCCTTCCTTCCTTCCTTCCTTCCTTCCTTCCTTCCTTCCTTTTTTTTTTTTCTTTTTGAGACAGGGTTTCTCTGTGTAACAGCCCTGGCTGTACTAGAACTCACTCTGTAGACCAGGCTGGCCTTGAAGTCACAGAGATCTGCCTGCCTCTGCCTTCCGAGTGGTGGGATTACAGTCATGCGCCACCATCACCTGGATGCCCTTATGTAGTTTTTACATGTGTCTGTCAGTGTTTGAATGTTTTCACCACTTACCTTGGAATTAGCCCTTTTTCCATGAAGCCCTGATGTTTCTTTTTTCTTTTTGGTTTTTAGAGACAGGGTTTCTGTGTGGCTTTGGAGGCAGTCCTGGAACTAGCTCTTGTAGACCAGACTAGTCTCGAACTCACAGAGATCAGCCTGCCTCTGCCTCCCTAGTGCTGGGATTAAAGGTGTGTGCCACCAACACCCAGCTACCCTGATGTTTCTTTCAGTGTATTATGTAAGCAACATAGTATAACTCTACTGTGTCCCTTGAGAACAGAGCTGACTTGTCAAATTACTTACCTGCTTAAACCCCATTTATATGGAATGGAGCTAAAAATGATACACATTTTCCTAGTGCTGTCCTAAGGGTTAATTTAGACAATTCACTTAGAAGTACACGTGTCAGTAAATTTGACATAAATATTGCCTATTATTACATTACTATTCCTTCTTTCTCCCTTTAACAGGATATTTTAAAGAATTGTTGAAGACGAAGGTTTTTATTTTGTATGTCTTTTAATGGCTATGCAGAATATTAAATAGAATACAGTTTGACATGACGACAAAAAATGTAAGTATTTGTAATTTTTTAAAAATAACTTAAGTGAGCCTATGCTACTTTGCTATACATATTTTCTCACTATTCTGATTAATAAGATTCAAAATGTTTCCTGGATTTATAATTGTTTTTGATTGTGTAGTGTGTGAGATAAACTTAATACTATAGTACTTTCATAGCCATTATAAGATTCTTGTAGATTGTGCCAAGCTTTTCTTTTTCAACAGCCAAGAGTTTCCAACTTGGCTTCTTTTCTGGGGACTGTTACAAATTTGTTTTGGTTGCTAGAGAGTTACTTGACCTTATTGAGCACATCTATGCCTTCTTTGGCTTATTTTTTTTTCTTTTGTGTTTGCTAAGGGAAATGTGTATGCTTTTATGTTATAGGGAAGCAGATTGCTTCCCTAGGGTATTGATTCCCTGGGGTATTCCCCGAAGACCATCAAAACTTTAGATGTGTTGGAAAAGTTATGTAATTTTTCCCTCTGTTTAAATTATCATTTCTTTATATCTTTATTGTAAAGATGCAGGGCCCTCTTAGTAATTTACTAGTAGGAATTTACTAAGCCCCTAGAAAGATCTGGACCCCAAACCTGGAGTCTGTGAGGAATTGGAACAGTATTTGTTTCCATAGCTCATCCCTTTCTGATGTTATCCATCTGCTTTATTCACTTCCCCTTCGTTTCCCCTGAAGATCACCTGAGGTCCATGGCCAGCCTCTCACTGTCTATTCTGTGCATATTCTGAGATATGCAGGAGGGAAAGAAACAGTCTGATGGAGCCTGTCATCACTTACTCTTTAGGAAAGCATTTCTTTTATGAGGAAGAGAGAGAGAGAGAGAGAGAGAGAGAGAGAGAGAGAGAGAGAGAGAGAGCGCACTCTGGAGTACTTACGGTCAGGAAAAATGAAAATCCTATTAAAAATGTTAAGGAGTAGTTATGGAAGTATGTGGCTGTAATCCCAGCTACTCAGGAGGCTGAGGCAAAAAAAAAATGGTGAGTTTGAGACTAGACTAGCCAATATATATAGCAAGACCATGTCTCAAACACAAAACAAAACAAAAAGACAAACAAACAAACAACCAGTTATCACAGCAAAACTCAGTTTAAGGAAAATGTATTAAATGTAGTGATTCATTTAACTGGAAAGTTCTCTGACTTTAAATACCTCTAGATTTAGAGGATTGAAAGATGGCATCATGTACTTTGTCCCCTGCCCCCATCTTTTGGATGTATAGGTGGTGGCATAATGACTTACTTGGGTCCTGTAGTATTGTTTATAAGAAAATACGGAACTTTTAGTTTTTGCTAATCATTATGAATTCCACAGAGGTAGTTTGATTACCCTGCTTGGCTCACAGATCTAGACAGCGTGTGGAAGAAAGTAGGATACAAGTGTGAGGCCTGGGCCAGGAACTTCTCATTAATGTTTCTTGCCAGAGTTACAGAGGATGTTTCATGGATACCTTTACAAAGAGGATGAGATGAGGTACTGGCATATATTCTCTACATCTCACCAAGTAGTACTTATTATCTAATGAGTCTCCTAGACCAAAAATTCAGGTACATTGTACTTTAAGTTCACCTAGTATACAAAATAGATTTTTTTTTTCTTTTTGAGATGGGGGTCTTGCTATCTAGCCAGGCCAGCCTCTCAAACTCAGTCCTTCTACATCAGTGTCCTACCTGTGGGATTGCAGACATGCAACATCATACCTGACTTAAAAGAAATTTTGACAAACCAAGGTGTACTATATTTTGCCTTCTCAGTGAAACTTTTTATATACACTGTATTTTTTCTAACAGAAAACAACCCTGAATACTTTTTCTTGATAATTCTGCAACATTTTAAGAGGCTCTTTTGTATTACCCATACTATAGACAATATACCAGTTTTTTATATAATAGTCATTATGTTTTCTCCATTTTTAAATGTTTCTATTTTTTTCCTTTACATGCTTTTAAACTTTTATTTATTTAAGTATGGGGGTATTTGTATTGTAAGTAGGTGTGCACATATCCACAGGGTGCTTATGTAAGTTAGAAGACAACTTTCAGGAATTAGGTCTTCTTTCACTGGATGCCAGGATTGAACTATCTCTCTGGCCATGTTTGTAATTTGAAATAAGGTCTTATGTAGCCCAGGTTTGCATTGAATGCTTCTTCTGCATCTCAAATGCTAAGATTACTATTATGCACCACTATGGCATTTTGTTTAAGAGTTTTGTTTTGAGATAGGATCTCACTTTGTTGTTTTGACTGGCCTCAGATTCACTATGTAATTCAAGCCTCTACTTATGGTGGTTGTCCAGCTTGTCATCCAACTGGTGGGACTCTAGGTATAAGCCATCTTCCTTGACCTTTGTTTAAGACAGGATATTGCTGTATCCTAGATCTTGATCTAACCAGTCTCAGAACTCATTTTTCTGCTTCTTCTTAGGGATACTTGGCTTTGAACATTTTTGTACCCTTTTGTTCATTTGTCAGATTATTTCCATCAGATGAAAATCTTAGAAAATTACTGAGTCATATTACTGAGTGTGTATGTTTTGTTTTGTTTTGTTTTGCAGAGATTATCTTTCCCCCCTGTTTTTAGTAGTAGTAGAGATTAAATGTTGGACCTCACGTATATGAGGCAAGCCTTTTACTACTAGTATTTTATCTTTTGCTCTAAGAGCTCTTGAATCATTTGCTAAATGGTGTTTTCTAAATGCTATTTATTTACTTACTTACCAGTAATGTATGAGAGTGACTTTTCTGTTTTATATATATGCTTACACATGCATATGTTTCCTTTTAAAACAGAATAAAAAAGTTTTGAGTACATTGCAAGGGGCAATGGTAGGAAGAATACTGTCTTTAGGAAGAGTACTGTCTATATATAGTTTTTTGTTTTGAATCTTAGCCACTCTAACCAGTAAAAAGTTGTATGTCATTTCTTTCTGATTACTAGTTAGGTTAAACTAATATTCTATGTGTTTCTTGGTTATCCACATTTCTTTTTGGAAATTGTCTATATTGATGAGTTGGAAACTATTGGCATCTAAATAACTAAAACTTAAATATTCACCATAAACAAAGATGCACAATTATTTAATGTAAGGTATGCAAGTCTGTTTACATATGTACACTTTATAGTGATGATTCCAGAATTTTGTTGCCTGTGAAAGGTAGAGCTTACCTTTAAGTACATAACATCTCATTTGAATTATTTTCTATGTCAGAAATACCAAATATTGGGACTGGAGAGATGGCTCAGAGGTTAAGAGCACTGACTGCTCTTCCAGAGGTCCTGAGTTCAATTCCCAGCAACCACATGGTGATTCACAACCATCTGTATGAGATCTGGTGCCCTCTTCTGACATACAGGCAGAATATTGTATACATAATAAAAAACAAATAAATAAAATCTTTGTAAAAAAAGAAATACTAAATATCAGTGCAGTTTATAATATTCTTATTGAGGAATATAATTTGATTGTTAAAAATAGACTTAGTGTCAGGTGATGGTGGTGGCTGATGCCTTTAATCATAGCACTTAGGCAGAGGTAGGTGGATCTCTGTGAGTTTGAAGCCAGCCTGGTCAACAGAGTGAGCTCCAGGACAGCCAGGGCTATACTGTGAAACTCAGTTTCAAAAAAAAAAAAAAACCAAAAACAAAAACAAGCTGGTTGTGGTGGCTCATGCCAGTAGGATTTGCTGAAGGAGGCAGAGTCAGGATGATCATGAGTTTGAGGCCATCCTGGGCTACACATTTTACAAAAAAAACAAAAATAGGCTTAGGTATTTTAATTTAGTATACCTTTACTGACTGCTCACAGTTTGTAGTACACCATTAGAATATCCAAATATTATTCCATATTTATTTATCTTGTATCATATCTATACCTTAAACCCATTAAATTTGTTTAAATTAAGAAAATTTATAGTGAAATACCCAGAGAGAAGAGATTTCTTAGTATCTTATTAGGCAAAAAGCATAACATGAAATATGAGGGTTTTTTTTGTGTTGTTGTTGTTTTTTTTTTTTTTTTTTTTTTTTTGGAGACAGGGTTTCTCTGTGGCTTTGGAGACTGCCTGGAACTAGCTCGTGTAAACCAGACTGGTCTTGAACTCACAGAGATCCGCCTACCTCTGCCTCCTGATTGCTGGGATTAAAGGCATGTGTCATCACTGCCCGAAGAAATATGAGTTCTTTTTTGTTCTCTTGCTCAATGATTTTTTTTTTTTTTTGTTGTTGTTGTTGTTGTTGTTGTTTTTCTGAGACAGGATCTCACTGGATAGTTTGGGCTGTCCTGGATCTCACTAACATTGATCTTGGGTTACTCCCAGATAAGCCCTTCAAATGCTGGGATCACATGCCCACTTCAGGTCCTTTTTTATTTTAATTAATTAATTTTTAGATTTGTTTTTACTGGTTCTGTGTGTGTACGCGCATGTGTGTGTTGTGTGGGTATAAGTGTGAGTACAAATGCATGTAGCTGTCTATGCAGACTGGAAGAGGGCACTGGGTACTGCTGCGTTGCAGTTATAGGAGACTGTGAGCTCCATCACCTTGAATGGTAGGACCCAAATCTGATCCTCTGTAAGAGGGATGATCACTCTTACACTTTTGATCACTCTTTCTAACCCCATAGTTCTTTGTTTATTGGCTAGTTTGTTTGAAACAGGATCTCACTATCCCTGGCCATCCTGTAACTCACTATGTAGATGGGAATGGCCTTAAACTCACAGAGATCTGCCCACCAACTACTGGGAACAGTCTAGCACTACCATACCCCATACCCCAATCCTTAATTCTATTTAAATAGATAGGATAAGGAAAGAACTTCATTATTTATTTATTTACTTAGCTCATATTTTGAGACAGTGTTTCTCTGTGTAGACCTGGCTGTCCTAGAACTCTGTAGACCAGTCTGGCCTCAAACTCAGAGTTCCACATGCCTCCGCCTGCCTTTTTTTTTTTTTTTTTTTTTAGGGGGGCTGTGTTTTTTTCTGGAACTCACTACATTACCAGGCTGACCTCAAACTCACAGAGATCCACCTGTCTCTGCCCACCCTCCTTAGCCCTCCTCCCCTGGATTCCTGGGATTAAAGGCATGCACCACCAGGCCCTGCAGATTATGCATGCCTGCCAAGACTGGGTTTCTTGGAGCTTGATTTACAGAAGGTTGTGAGCTGCCTGACATGTCTGCTGCGTAGCATACACTCTTAACCATTGAACCAGCTTTCCCGCCTGGGAAAGAATTTTTATTCTTTTCTTTTCTTTTTTAGAATTTTTATTATTTTCATTTGTTTTTGTTTTTCTAGACAGGGTTCCTCCATAACAGCTCTGGCTGCCCCCGGAACTCACTTTGTAGATCAGACTAGCTCAAAGTCACAGTGATCCTCTTGCCTCTGTCTCCATTGGGTGCTGGGATTAAAGGCATGTGCCACCCCTGCCTGGTGGATCTCTGTGAGTTTGAGGTCAGCCTGGTAATGTAGTGAGTTCCAGAGAAAGAATATTTTAAAATGTCTTTCCCAGACAACTTTTTTATTTGTAAGTAATGTACTTTGAGTCTTTAAAACTACAAAGTATGAAAGTAGGATTTAATGTATACTTTAATTTATTAAATGGGTTTTGGTAGAATTTTTATGAACTTTAGTTTAAAATACATCCCAAGATTAAAATTAGGCTGTAATATTGAGACTTAGTTGACCTTTATCTAATTTTTAACTGTACAATGAAGGTATGGGTGTACAGCTGTTTAAAACATTCTTGGATTTGTTTGCTGCTTTACTCTGCATGCAGAAACTAGCATGAAGAGCAGGTGTTTAAACCTAACAGGAACCCAGTAACTGCCGTCAGTACTGTGAATATGTGGTTTTTGTTGAGGTTTTTGGTTTCTTTTTTTACTGTTATTTTTATAAAATAAGTAAAATGTAAAACAGCTCTCCCCAGCCGGGCAGTGGTGGTGCACGCCTTTAATCCCAGCACTCGGGAGGCAGTGAGTTTGAGACCAGCCTAGTCTACAACAACCTAGTTCCAGGACAGCCTCCAAAGCCACAGAGAAACCTGTCTTGAAAAACAAACAAAAAACAACAACAACAAAAAGA